AAAAAGAAAGTATTTGAAAAAGTATTTTTTAAAATTTTATGTATTTATTTTTTGTGGTACTGGGGATTGAACTGAGGACCTTGCACTTGCCAGGCAAGTGCTTATGCCACTGAGCTATATCCCTGGCCCCTTGAAAAATTTTTTAAGATGTTCAGTATTCTACTTAAATGTATTTTTTTTAATTTTATTTATTTGTGTGTGTGTGTGTGTGTGTGTGGCCAGCTCAGCCCACCATGGGGTGCAGCTGGCTGGCATGTGGTGCTGGTGGATTGAACCGTGGGCCCTGTGCTTTGCTAAGCTTGTTCTAAGTAGGTGCTTTAGACCACTGAGCCATCTCACCAGCCCCTTAAATGTATTTTTGACTGTAGTTTATTTCCCTAAAATGTTCATTAGATGTACATGGTATAGGGACATTCCTGCACTCCAGATTGTGTCAATAACAAAACTTTTTTGGCATTTTCACTGATAATCAAATAAACACTGGTGCTTCAAAAGCAGCCTTTTAGAATTCTCATTTTTTGTGTATATTGACCTTGAGATTGAAAATGTTTGACTGCTATATTTATTTATAAAATTAGTGTTGTGATTGCGTTTCATGTAGCTTCATTGTGTTGAGACAGGTTCAAAGAATGTTGAAACTAGGAGATACACTGTACTTTTTCCCATTGATTGTGGCTTTGGAAACATAGCCTCCCGGTTATTACTGTTTCCAATTTTACATTGTGATTCTTTCATTATTCATACATAGACATCTTATCCTTAATTTCTGCCCCTTTGTTCCTTTTGGTTTGTCTTGCCTCTATGTCCTGTGGTAACTTATCAATTTTTCTTTCATGTGACAGAATAGTGGAGACAGTGAATATCCTTGAGGGCTTTTTTTGTGTGTGTGATTTTGAAGTAATTCATGTACTGTATCTCTATTCATTGTAACATTTGCTAGTTTTAGAGTACATGTATTTTATCAAGTTATTAGTAATATTATGGTGTTTTTCTTCAGTAAAAGCCTTTAAGAAATAACAAAATTTGAGTTTTAGAAAATATGTCAAGATTCAAATAATCATATCAATTCTTTTTTGGGTGCTTTTTTGTGATGAGTTTAACCATAGTTTTGTGGTACTGAGTCGTTCTTTGATCAGGTGATCAGACATAATCTTCTTATTATATAGTCACTTTTTTGCTGTGTGTAAGACAGGTTGAGCTTGCATCATGAGATTAGGGGCCACACATCCACTAAGCTACATGCAAGTGATTAAAAACTATTTTCTAATGCACCCTTATAGTTTGCTAATATTAATGTTCTAGCAGATTTGAAAATTTGCACACATGTGTGTTTAACATCTTTTCTGTTTTTTGGGGGGGGTTTTTGTTTTGTTTTGTTTTGTTTTGTTTTGTTTTGTTTTACTTGGAATTGAACTCAGAACCTTGTGCTTGCCAGGCGCCTGCTTGTGCCACTGAGCTAGATTGCTGGCCCTGCATACATACATGGAATAGGCCCACATTTGCCTTTTCTTATCAACATCGGGACTTACATAAATATCACAGTTCTAGAGGTGTAAGCTGCAGAGATTTTTTTCCTTCTTTGATTACAAACATTGATACTATGCCCCACTGAGTATACCACATTTGTTATAATGTTCATATTTGTACATATTTGGTATACTTATAAATAGATATTCCTGGGAAACTGGTACATGTACAGAGGGAATCTTGGTCAACGTCTGAAAAGTTTCAGTGAATCACTGGAACACCCACAGGGAGATGAGTTTATGAAGGAAAGGTTTATTTTGTCATTTTGGTGACTTGCTAATTTATTTCATTCTTCATTATCTGCCTCATCTTTTATTAAATTTGCAATTTTATGTATTTCTGAGAATTCACTATCTAAAATTTACTAAATGATGATTAGGTTCTATTTTATATTTCTTTGTAATGTCCTATTCTACAAAGGTGAGAGGGTCTACATCTATACTGTCCTTCAGGAGCTAATACAAGGTGACCAAGAGTTGATGGCCAGGAGGGTCTCATAGCGAGACTCTTTCTCAGAAACTAATATATTCATTATCCTTATAGTTTTTTCATTTTCATAGTGTGTTTCTCTTTTGCCTCCTGTTAGTCCAGCTTTGCTATCTAGTCATATGTAAATTATGTCTGTAAATATGTGTATCTTCGTTGGTTTGTTTTTTGAGACAAGTTCTCACTATGGGTTCCAGGCTGGCCTTGAACTCAGGCTGGCATCAAATTTGTAACAATTCTCTTGGCTCTGCCTCTCTAGTTCTGGGATTACAGGTATGTGCCATAACACCTGGCTGATTTTTCCAATATATTTACTCTTTTTTTTTTTTTTTTTTTCTGTATGCCTTCAGGGCAGGTTTGGCTGGCTTGAGTTGTGGGG